CTCCCCCGGGCTCACCCTGCCCCGCCAGGCTGGCGGTGCGCCTTCCGCATGCGCGTACCTTCTCACTTCCGTCACGCAGACGCAGCCCGTAGGTTCAACCCCGGCTCCGCCCCTGCAAGGGGCCCAATCAACTTGCAGCGCCTCGCCCGAGGCGCGCGCCGGGAAGGTGGGCTCGAGATTCGGCGCATGCGCCCTCTGGGCGCTGGTGGAGTCAGTTGGCGCCGGCAGTGGCAGAGTGGCTACAAGGCAGCTGCTGGGCGACCCGGAGCTAGCTGTGCTGCAGGTGCCGGGCCAGGCGGGACGGCGGGATGAGATGAAGTGGGGTGGAGGACTGGGAGCTCCCCTAAGAGGGAGGACGAAGGAAGAGGCTCCGATAGGAGCTTTTGAGAAGAGAGGCAGATTTGAGAGTGAGGAATCGAAAAGCAGGGCAGAAGACAGATGGGAGCTAAGGGATAGAGGCCCCGTTAAAAAGGAGAGGCTTTGGGACAAGGAGTTGGGTTGGAGGGGCTACCTAGGAAGCCCCAGATCCCTACCATGAGGGGTTGCCCTGTGTGGTGTGACCTCACAGTTCCTGGAATTACGTGGGCATAAGCACCTTAGAGTATGCAAAGGGGGCTGTGGTGGTGGATGAGATTTAGTGGCTTCAGAAACCATATGTCACTTAGGACCGGAACATCATCTGTGCGAAGAGCAGTGCCATGAACAGATAGGGCCAGTTAAATGAAACTGCTTGGTTTCTGTCATCCTGAAAGACCCTTCCCTCTAGGCTGAGTGGAGGCTCAGTGTCTGTTATTGAAATGCAAAGGAGAGCGGGGATTAACTGCACATCTCCCATCCCCATCTTGGTCTTTAAGAAAGCTAAAGTCTACTCTTTTGCCTTAGGGATCTGCAGCGACCATCACCCCTGCACAGAAGCAGCCTTTTCTGACTACGCTTCCTCGATTTTTGGAGATGGCAGGTGAAATCACAGAGACTGGAGAACTCTATTCTCCCTATGTGAGTTTTCCTTCTGGAATCTGTTTTGCTCAGCTCAGTGCTTTTGCCCTCTAGAGAAGCACACCACTTCCTGTGGGCTATACTAGTGATTGGGCTGGTTTAAGAAGACCGTGATTGCTGGGGTTGTAGCTCTGGCGCTGTGCCTGCCTGGCAAATGTAAGGTCCTGAGTTCAATTCCCAGTACCAGGAAAAAGGAAAAAAGAAAGAAAGAAAACCCTGATGAAGACAGTGGGAGCCCAGTATAGCAGGAGCCACACTGCCTCTGTCGGAGCTCAGAATATTTATTCCCCTTTTAGATGAGTATCAGAGATTGTCAAGCCCCACAGAATTAACTTGCTAACTCTTTATAGTATTTATCGCTGGGCTTCCACCGCTTGCATATGGTGCAGCCCTTCAGATGGGACAGTGATTGACAATTGTTGACTTTGCTTTTTATTCATCTCGGCAATTTGAACCTGCTTTGGTGTTCAGCTGACTTTTAAGTTGCACAACTTTTATGGTCTTGGGTGGCGAAAGAGGCAGAGGCTTCGACCTGCACTTAGTTGGGAGTCTGCAATTAGGACAATTAAAATGATTGATATCTTTCTGTCTTGAGTCTCGGCTACCCCTCACTACCCCCACACACAGTCAGTTTATTTTCTGTGTGTAAGATCCACTGGTCATGGTAGTTACATCACAGAACCTCTTGCCTGGATCAGTCGCTGGCAGGTAATCATTTGAATAATCAAATGATTGACTCTTGTTGCTAGCAAGTAGCCCAGGGAAAAGCAACATTCCTATAAGTAGCCAGAGCCTTCTTTCTAGAAATGACCTGCCTTAAGCTGCTGCCCTGTATACACATCTTTCTACCCTGGGGAACTCTACATTGTTCTGCTGTTGTCACAGACACGAGCATTGCAGTGTGATGGGTAAGGAAGCATGTCTATGAATGGCCGGAACAGGGTCTTTCTGTTGGGCCTGCACTGTTGGCACGCTGCCATAAAGGAGCCTCCTTCACCTGTCTAATTTACCAGGGGAAGTCTTCTGCGAACCCGGGAATGGAATGAATCGTGTCCCTCTCATATGTGGGATCATGTGATAGTTGCCAGTCTTCGGTGTCAGCAGTGAAATGGCCATGCCTAGAAGTCCTACACTTCTGCTTTTTCTTACAATGTCCTTAAACTTAGAGATGAGGAAATGAGTCCTTTCTGTAACTGAGTTTTGGAAGGATTTGAGATGGCCCCATTTCTTGTTTGAGTTATCATTTCAAGTGTCAGCATGTGGCCACAGGAGATTGAGCAGTTAGAACTACAAGCTTCTCTCTCCCCGCAACCTCGGTTCTTGCTATGTTGTATCAGACTGGCCTTGAACTCACTGTGTAGCCCAGGCTGGCCTCAAACTTGTGATCCTCCTGCCTCAGCCTCCTGAGTACTGGGATTACACGTGCATACACACCATGCCCAGTCTGTTGCTTTTTTCTTTTGCCTCCATTTCCTGGGTCCCTTTATTTTGTTCAGCATCTTTGAGGGCCAGGACTGAACAGTTGCCATAAACAAGTGCTGTTTTCTCTTATCCTACCAGTAAAGAGAGATGTAGGAGAAAGATAGGTAGTGGTGGGATGCGACTAGGAAGTAGTGGTCAGGGTTTTCAAGGAAGAAAATACCTCTCCACCATCCTCGCAGAATTAGTCTTGAGTCCCTATGAGACCAAAAGAAGGGCTAATCATCCACTGAGCCCAAATCAACTATAGAACCAACTTTACTGCCAGAGCTGCTCTGAGACACCTATAGACCTTAGCTCAGTGTGGGCAGACGCCTGTCCTTGCTGCCTAGGGAAACCAAGATGCTGGGCACATCGTTCACAAAAGTGTATCAGCCCATGATCATTCCCAAGACTAGGCCTCTTTTTAGCTCTGTATTGCCCAATCTTTTCCAATTGAGTTGAGTTGTTCTTTTCCAGTTCAGGGGTAGATTTGCTTTACCTCGATTTAATTCTGGTTTTTATTTTATTTATTTGTTTGTTTATTTTTTGGTACCGGAATTGAACTTGGGTCCTTGCACTTGCAAGGCAGGCAGCGGAACCACTGAGCTACATCCCGGGCCCTTAATTCTGTTTTTTTTAATTTTTTTGAAGGGCCCAGGATGTAGCTCAGTGGCACCACACCTGCCTCACAAGCACAAGGTCCTGAATTCAATCCCCAGTGCCACCAAAAAAAAAAATTTTTTTTTTGAGACAGGGTCTGGCTATGTAGTTCAGGCTGGCCACGAACTCACTATGCAGCCCAGGCTAGCCTTGAACACCTAGTGATCCTCCTGCCTCAGCCACACTGGGTTAGATAACTCACCTCAAATTCACATCCACCCAGAACCTCTAAATAGGGTCTGATTCACAAAGTGGGGTGTTTGAAGAAGAGAGGAACTGGGCATGGTGACACACTCCTGTAATCCCGGCACTCGGGAACCTGAGGCAGAGGAATCGCTGCAAGTTCCAGGCCAGCCTGGGCTACATAGTGAGTTCAAGGCCAGCCTGAGCTGTATAGCAAGATCTTGTCTCAAAAATAAACAAACAAACTGTTGCTCAGAAACATTCTGAAAAGATATGATGGGCCGAAGGGGGTTTGTCATTGGGGTGTTAAACTTCCAGTTCCCTGACATCTGGGAGCAGAGCTGGCTCCTCGGGACCTGACTCCCTTCTTACCTGCCTCCCTGTGTGCAGCCTGGGAAAGCTGATGATCCTCGGGGGCCCTTTCGGGGAGAGGCCAGCTGACATCGGGGCTTGACTGTCACCCTTGTGTTTCCAGGTGGGCCTGGTGTACACGTTCAACCTCATCGTGGGCACAGGTGCACTCACCATGCCCAAGGCCTTCGCCACCGCTGGCTGGCTCATCAGCCTCATCCTCCTGGTGTTCCTGGGCTTGATGAGGTAAGAGCTGCAGAAGGCTGTCCTGGGACTGGGCTAGAGCTGGAGAGGGGCTGCCCAGGATGCCTAAACACCCCTCAGTTTAGAGGACGGCACTTTCAAGGTAGGAAGACAGCTGTCTACCTGTAGCTGAGCCCTGAGCAGGGTGGCCTGGAGAGAGGAAGGATCAAGGTCTCCCGGTGCCTTCTGGGTATGGAGCAGTTCCACAGCCTGATCAGTTAAAAGTTGAGACACCAAGGGCCAGGGATTTAGCTCAGTGGTTCTGCCACCTACCTTGCAAGCGCAAGATGCTGAGTTCGATCCCCAGTACCAAAAAAGCAAAAGCAAAGTTGAGACCAGACTAGCTTGGGAATGTCCCATGCAACCTGCCTCTTCTTTACTTTGTTACTGTTACCATAACTGTTATTTGCTCTCTCAGAGAATACCAGCTAACCACACAAAAGGCATCTCACACACACTGAGGTGACCTGGAAAATCGGTGTAGAATTTAGAATTTGCTTAAGATAATTCACCAAGAAAATGACAAATACGCAGGTACTCGCTTTTCGGTCACTTGTTGACTGTCCTGCCTTGTGCCTCCCAGGCCTTCGGGGCACCTGCTCCGTGAGCCAGGTGTGTGGGAGCTCCAACAGGGGCTTGAGAGTGTGCAGACTGCACCTCAGGTGTTCTTCGGGACCCCACATGCAGTCTGAAGTCATTTCACAAGCAGCCCAGGCTGCTAATGGCCATGCCCAGTCCCCTTGACCAGCTGGGAGTCTACGTAAAAGGAGGTGGGAAGAGCACCTCCCTGAGAGGCAGCACCCTGTCTCTGCACAGCAGGCACCGTTCTCTGTGTGGGGAACAGAGATTCCAGCCCTCGCGGGTTTGGCCATAGCTGTTGGGGCTGACTGAGTAGCAACAATAAAGTGTTTACATTGTCGAGAAATGAATGCTGTGGAAAAACAGCAAAGCCCAGCAGAGTGAGAGGGGTCAGGGGACTGCAGGTTTGAGTAGGGGTCACAGAGGGCCGCACTAAAGCCCAGGTTTGAAGGAGGAGGGAGCGGGCACAGGGAAGAATGAAGCAGAAGACTGAGACCCGTAAAGGGGGCCAGGTTCTTCAGTTTCTTTATGCTTCTCTTTTAGGGAGTTTTGAGATGAACCTTGGGGTACTGTTGGCTCATCACACACTCGAAGCTGTAGAAGTCCCTGTCCTAATGTGACTCTGCCCCCTTCCAAGGACCTTCAGCACAGGCAGACATCTGAATAGGAAGTGATTACTGGGGGACCATGCCCCCTCTTAGCTAAAACCATTTATGTTTGAGCATGGCCAGTGAATTGGCTTTGTACAGCCACTAGAAGTCTCTTTGTGCCTTAATTAAGATTGATTTTGGTTTTGCTTTCAAAAAGAAGAGAAAGTGTAATGCCCTTAAAATGATCAGTTAGGCAAGATAACGAGAAACCTTTGTGGAGGTGCTGAGGCCGTGGGAGTGGGAGTCCCAGGCCTGGCGCCCCCCGCTTCCCTCTCAGAGGTGAGGGCACGTGGGAGCTGCTCTCGGGCCTGCAGCTCCTCTGCCACCCACTGCCCACCTACAAGGCTGAGCGGTCACTGCCCTCTCTCCCCGGCCCCTGAGCACACAGGGGAAGAGCCAGACCCGCCTCGGGAGATCAGTGTTCGCCCTAAGTTGCTGAGTGGCAGGGATGGATTCACGCCTCAGGTCTTACCCACCGGAAGGCAGCACCCTGCCTCCCCCGTTAACAAGAGCACTGGTGTGCTCCAGTGCCCACCTAGGCTCTGAGTTTCTGTGAATAGGGACGAAGAGGTGATTTCTCTGCCGTGCTCTGACTTCTCGGTGAGTGTCTGGTGCTTCCTCCCAGTCCCCCTGTAGATGCAGGGCACAGTGGTGAAAGCTTACTTTAGTGTTAGCCAGATGGTTCCAAGAGCAAAGACGGATGGATTCCTCTGCCATGCTTTAGTTATCCGCTTGCACCAGTGCATGTAGTTAGGAGCGGACTGCGCAGCTGTGACGTTGCAAGGAGAGGTAGAGCTGCCTGCTGTCCTTTCAGCTCTGAGCGCCCCCAAGTCTTGATTTGCCATCTGCCCCAGCAGGCTCCTTGCAGGTGTACGGTGCCGCTGCGACCCCCCAGCATCACCTCCACCTCAGCCCCTACTCTCTTGAGTGAACCCCCTTCCTCCCATCACTTAGTTCCCACCCCCTCGCCCATCCATTGCAAATGCTACTGAAGCAAGCAGAGGGCTGTGCGGTGTGCACGTGCACATTTTTGACCAGGAGAGACCCAGCTCAGAATGTCTCAGAGGCCACCGTGAGGCTGCTGGTTTTGACCTCCCTGGCGTTAACAGTCGGCTCTTCCTCTCAGCTTCGTGACGACTACCTTTGTGGTGGAAGCCATGGCCGCGGCCAATGCCCAGCTCCGCTGGAAGAGAATGGAAACCCACAAGGTATGCGTGTTGACCTTGTCCCTCGGGCTCTCCTCAGTCATGTGCCCGAGACAGCAGCAGTTCTCCCAGTGAGGAGCCTCGTCCCTAGCCCCAGTGCTGCAACCTAATAACCATGCGAGGGCAAGGGCACAGTGTCTGCTGCCTTACTTCGCAGCATTGGTCCGTCACACCCCGTTTTGGCGAGCTCAGTCATGCTGAACCTCTGTCCCCAGGAACTGTATATGTCTGTCTTCACCTCTAATGTGACAGTCAGGATGTGTGAAAGTTCCTAATCAGATGCCTTCTAGAAGGAGAGAACAGAAATGACATTCCCCATTAACTGGGGTTTCTTTAGCACTATGGACTCATCCTTTTACCTTGTCTTTCCTCTTCCTCCTCATCCATCCCACCACCTCCTCCCAGGAGGAGGAAGATGACGACTCCTCCACAGCCTCAGACAGTGATGTTCTCGCGCAGGACAGCTATGCTCGGGCGGAGAAACGGCCCATCCTGTCTGTTCGTAAGTCTTGAGATCCTGGGCAGGCCCCACGCTCCCTCTACTTCACAGGGCTCAGTTTCTTGGAGAGGACCCTGGGAGTCTCCCCACAGACATCCTCTGCTGTTTCCTGCCGCAGGCTGCTTCCTAGGAAGGCACCACAGTACAGGAAACAGAGCACAGACTTTGGCTCTACCATTTACTGGCATTTGCAGCTTCACACAGTATTTGAGCCCTGTGCCTCGTGCCCACTGGAAGGCTGAGTGAATAGGGGTCTCTGGCTCCAACTTTCCACCTCATCCCTCATGCACAGGCCCTTGCTGCACCATGTCATCCCCACTCCACCCGGCCAGGGCTATATGAGTCCTTCTTCTCCCCCCTACCCCATGGGCTGCATCCCTGAACACTCTTAAAAACACAGACTCAGTGTATCTCGGTGGTAGGACTGAGCCTACCATACAGAAAGCCCTGGGTTCCATCCCGGCAGTGGTGGGGGAAAAAGACTTGTAAGGTAGGTAAGTCAAGCCAGAAATAGTAGGAAAAGTTTCCTCAAGAGTGTGAGATGCTTGGGGACTTCCTTATCCCGGAGACTTCGCTGAGCTCAGTGGCCCCTCGTGGAACTCTTCCAGCGAAGAACCCCCACCCTTCCTGTCCTTCTGGCCCCACAGAGAGACGTGTACCTGCCAACCTGTTTGAAATCACAGACCGGGTGGAAATGGGACAAATGGCCTCCATGTTCTTCAATAAAGGTAATAGCTCCTTCCCTGCAGACCTGGGCCTTCTAATGAAGATACCTGGACTAGGGATGGGGTAGGCATGGGAAGAACAGGTTGTCCATTTCTCCAAGACACCTGAGAGAGAGACTTCCAGCTATTGACTTGAATTCCTGCCTGTCCCATCAACTTGAACAGAAAAGCGGCTCACCTAATGGAGGTCCGGAATCCTCAGCAGCTTTCCAACAAAGAAAGCTGGTGGAGGCCACCTGGTAGTTTTGTGGTTCTTGTTTGCTCCCCTGTGTTGTTTGGTTTGGTTTGGTTTTTTGGGACAGGGTCTTGTTACATAGCTCAGGCTGACCTTGAACTCATTACTAGCCAAGGCTGGCCTCAAATGTGCAGCAGTCCTCCTGCCTCAGCCTCCCAAGTTCTGGGATTACGGGTGTTCACCACCACACCTGGCTCTTCATTGCTTCTGATCTGTAGCCCCTTTTGTCTGGGACAACACCCTCTGGCCGGAGGATCTGCCACAACCTGCCTGGGCCTGTCCTCCGGGTGGCCAGCAGAGGGCGCTCAGAGCCCATGTTGGGGTTGCCCTGGAGGGAGGAGGTGCGGTGCTCCCTCCCACCTGCCTGCTCCTCGATATTTGGCTGTAGCCTGCAGAGATCCGTCCAGTTCCAACCATATACCTCTTGAGCTTTTAGAATAGGAGCTATTGAAAGAGTTTTGCTTTTATGATAAACCTATGCATTTCCACTTCTGTAAGAGTCAGGCACAGTCTCAGTAAGTCCCTCACCTTGCAGCTGTCTTTGAAGATTTTTTCCCTGTCAAAGCCTCTGGAGTGGGGCGTCTCTACCCTGCCTGTCTAGAGTAGAGTAAGGGCGATAGAGCAGGGTCTTCTTGACCGCTTCTAGGATCACTCAGTGCTCGGCTTGTCCCTGGCAGTGTGGCTTGGCAGTCTGTCCAGGAGGCAGTAATTGTCAGCACAAATTTCCCTGAGGCCTGGAGCCAGCCTCGCTCCTGGATGGGCCTCCAAGAGGGTTCCCAGAATTCATCAAAACCTTTTTGGCCATGCCCAGCCCACTCCTGTTCTCTGTGCTCTTTTGTTCCATTTCTGTCCCTCCCCATCTTACCAGACTGAGAAAGCCTCACCGTTTCCCCCTGGCAGCCACACAGTCCTCTTCCAAACGGAAGCTTTCAAAGCAAAATGCACATCACAGGGAGGATGTGTATCTTGCTAAGACTCCTCTCTCATGGTCAGGTTCTGCATCTGCCCCCATTTCTGTAAGAATTCTAGGAATGAGTGGTTCGTTTTGTCTTTTCCTCCCCGATAGACCAGATTTCCCGTTTACTGACGTCTAACAGAAAGCAGCACACTGGCAGGGAGGCAGCCCCCTTAGCATCTCCCGCAGGCTCTGAAGCTCGGCACTGTCAGCGCTGAGCCAGATGACTGTGTCACGGGGCCTTGTCCTGGGCACTGCAGTGTCCCTGGTGTCTTAGGTGCTCAGAGTACCTCCGAGTTGTGACAGTCAGCACTGTCACCAGTGCAATGTCCCCAGTGGACCGGGGGATACACAGTCACCTCTACTCTGCTCTATTCATAACTCAGACTCTTCCGTTGTCACCCTCACCTTTGGCAGGGCTGCCACCCTCTACAGTGCTCCCTCGGGGTCGCCACTCATTTATTGGCATGAGAAATGCCAGGCCTTGTCGTTGACGTCCTCTGAGGAAGCTCGTTGATCCTCCCACCTTGTGTCTAGTAATGAAGTTTTATTGATCAGAGACAGCCAATGGCAGTTTATAAACAGCCGGGAAACTGCCAACACAGAGCTGCTTGCAGGTGGCAGGAAAGGAGCAGGGAGGGGACAGTGCCTCCTTACTGAGAAGATTGGTGTCAGAGCAGAAAGGCAAGCTGAAGTGAGCTGCAGGTGTGAGTGACAGGCAGCCCAAGGGGCCACTGAGTTTGGAAGCCAGGGCCATCTCTGACAAGTCAGGGAAGAACATATCTCCTGTGTTCAAAAAGCAGGTGGTGCTGGGCATGGTGGTGCACACCTGTAATCCCAGCACTCGGGAGGCTGAGGCAGGAGGATTGCTGTGAGTTCGAGACCAGCCTGGGCTACATAGTGAGTGCCAGAGCAGTTTCACAAC